ATCCTCTGAACACATGCGTGCTGAACCGTGGGCCTAGTCACGGGTCACTATCAACTACGATCTGTTCCCTTCACTAAAATGTCACGGTTCCTAAACATGATAACAAATAATATAGATAAATAATGAACACCTTCCAAGCCAAAAATACTATATTGCCTAAAATATATAGGTTTTGGCTTTGTTTGCGTGTGCAGACCGATCGGTGTATGACATCAAAGTACCATACAGACGGTTATGCTTTCGAAACGCACATGTCAAAACGAAAACACAGATACTTACAAGACCAAGTAGGAATGTCCTTTATCGTTTGTTGTTTGCCCGCTGCTCTCCGACAGGTAAACTTAGTGCTCTCTCGTGTAAAAACAAAATTCAAAACACAACACTGATCTCAACTAACTCTCGTGTCTCGCGTTGCCAGTAGTCATGTCTCAGTAGCGATACAATTGCCATCTAGCGGTTGGGAATTGTAGTTGCATTTTATTTATAAAATGAAAGACAGCCGAATACCAATAATATCATATAATGTGAATGAATGTAACATTTAGCTTGTGGGATGCATGACATCATATTATCAAATGCAAGTAAACTTTTGAAACATTTAAATTAGCATTATTTTTAGACAGCCACTTAATTTTATATCTAAATGAATGAATGAAGCATTTTGAACGAATTGATTGAATAAAAGGCTCATTTATTAACACAATGACTTACCGCCACCTACTGGCAATATTACTTTCATAATTCAAGTATCATTTCATTTTATTCATATTTCTGTATGAAACATTTAAAGTAGCATTATTTTATATTTTATTTAATTATTTTACAGCATTATTAAATATAGCATTATTTATTATGCCAAAAATAATGCTCATTTAAATGTTTCAAAAGTTTACTTGCATTTGATAAGAAGCTGCGTGGGCGAAAATTACATGTAAACAATTTTAAGGCTATTTTGGCTATTCTCGTCGCTGGTCTGGTTACTGGTATAGGGCTATAGCCAAACCGTTAAAATTAGACCACAGATTACGTCGATTTCGCCAGGTGGGCTAAAAGCAGACTACACGTAGCCCGTCTAATTTAGAGCTAAATCGTGGCTACATATAGACTATGTCATGAAATGACACTTATATCTTAGTAGATATTATTGACACTGCGAACATGATGGGATATCAACCATCTCATGCACTGCCTGGCCAAAAACTACAGTGAATCAGGTTTGACTATAAGTGGGCTACAGATAGCCGCTCTGACTAGTGACTACGAGCTAAATCGTGGCTACGTGCCTACGCACAGGCTACATATTGAACATGTCAAAGAAATGAAACCAAACACCTTGTAAACGCTGTTACTTTGCTTACATGATGGAATATCATACATCTCACAAGTTATTTTGCCAAAAAACGACATGAAACCAAATTCAAGGTTATTTGGGCTAGAAGTGGCTACACATAGCCAGACTATCGGGTCTATACTTAACCGAGACGTTGAAATGATGGCTATTGCTTGCTGGGCAGTCACTTCACTGCCACCAAATTTGAAATGACAGTGTTTGCATTCACAGGTTTTGAAAAAGCTCTTAGACCGCATTTGGTGGCGTAATTATGCAAACAACTTTAAAGCACAGCATATGACGTTCAGTAGGCCTAAGTCAGTTTACACTGAATTTACACTGCGGTACTTCTGTTGCTTTCAAACATTGTCTCAAAAGGCTATTACATAACCACTTGTTCAAATTTCAGGTTTTTTTGTTTAAATATTTCATACCAGTATTATGTAATGTCATTCTCAATTGAATTGGCCACAATATGCTTCTGCTTCATGTGTGATGTTGCAGTCATCCACTAGGTGGAAGTAAAATACAGCAGAACATGTGCAGTGCCTCTGTTGCTGAATGGAAATAATCCACATGAAGGTTATTGAGGAGAAACTGTGTTTTAGTAATTATGTGCAAACAGTACATTGAAATTGAAATGAATCAGGTCAGAACAGTTGAATTGCAGGGTTTGTATGTTAATTAAGGTATAGAGCAAAATAACGTGAGGGTGGATGAATTACAAATAACAAGAATAACAAGAACTCCCACAATGCCTCTTACGGCCCTCTGACGTAAAATACCAGACTGAAACGCAGTAAAAACTGAAACACACACACACACACATATACGCTGTAATTATGGGTATGCTGTTGCTTGACAGGAGTGGTGGAAACTTGTCAGAGTTGCTAAATATAGCTGCTGTCCCTTTCCAACGAGAGACAGTGGACACCTGTCACACACACACGCACAAACACTTACCCACAATGCTTAACTTTCACTTTACACCACCTCCCACACTCTTCCTTTGGTTTCAGACGTCCCAGCTGTTCTCCCCTTCATCTCAAACTTCAAAGCAAAAGAGACGGAGCAAAAATGAAAGAATGTTATGCCGGGGAAAACGCACCAATCCTGTATCTATCAGTCTGTTTGACAACCAGCGAAGGCAAAAGCGCATTCTGTCGGTTTATAGTGCAACATTGCTTAGCGACAAAAGGGAGCATATTGCTGACATGCTGTACCATTTCAAACCCGTAAGTGCCCATCAAAGTCATTCATTCAAAAGTTGACAAGTGGCGTCTTCCCACTTCTAAAGCAGGAAAAGATGGCTAATTGCTTCCTCAGAGCAGATC